GTTTAAATCTACTTTCTAAAATAGTTTTTTTTTTAAATATTTCGAACAATATTTGATGTATAACAGTGAAAATTGGTATACAAGGGTACAACAAAACGAACCATGGCCATAGTTTTACTGTAGCCGCTAGAGGGCGCTCTCTACTGTACCTGTAGTGTATTAAAATGACCGAAAATTTTTTCTTAGTGCAATTTTTTGCTTTTTGAATAAAAAAAACTGATTCTCTTACTTTTCAACATAAAAAAGCTCTCTTGTGAATTTTCGTTATAGTTAGCCGTTTTTGAGATACTTCGATTTTTAAGGTTCGATGCATTTTTAATTATTTATGATAAAATAACGTTAAAAAGTCAGTATCTCGATAATTTTTAGAAGTAGGCTGTACCTGCAAGTATTTTTGAAATTGAAAGCAAAATAAGGTTAAACGTCAATTAGTTGACAGTTAGTTTTGTTGTCTGTTGACGTTGAACGTGTGGATTGGTATCTACCGTAATCGACTATTTGGATCCTACCTTTTGCCTGCAAGATTAAATGCTGCGACCTTCTTGGAATTTTTAAAGGCTGAACATGCAAATATGTGGGATGATGTTATGTTAGATTTAAGAAGACTAGCCTGGTTCCAGCTTGATGGTTGTCCAGCTCATTATTCGAGAATAGTTAGAAACTGGCTGGACGAAAATTATCCAGAAAGATGGATCGGCCGTAGAAGACCAGTCGCCTGGCCTCCTCGATCCCCTGACCTAAATCCATTAGATTTCTTTGTGTGGGGATTTCTAAAAGAAAAAGTGTACCAGACTCCCGTAACCACAAGAGATATGCTAATAGACAGAATCAGGAATGCATGTGATGAAATAAGGCGTAATTTGAATAATGCTATACCACGTTCGCTCATCCGTAGATGTGAATTGTGTATTGAACAATTGGGTTTACATTTCGAGCAACTACTTTAGATTTTGTATGTTTGTCCTAACTATCCAATAGCATTTTAGTTGTAAATAATTAATTTAATTTGTTAAAAATAATATTGGAAAATTAAATAAATTAATATTCTGTTTTTTTTTGTGTTTATTTGGAGTTAGGAATTATTGCTGTGTTTAAAAACACAATCTAAACGATCATCTTAATTACTTGTAATGCCCAAATCGAAAATGTAAAAACAATATGATTTTCCCATAAATAATTAAAAATGCATCGAACCTTAAAAATCGAAATATCTCAAAAACGGCTAACTATAACGAAAACTCACACGAGAGCTTTTTAATGCAGAAAAGTGCGAAGAATCAGTTTTTTTATTCAAAAAGCAAAAAATTGCACTATGAAAAAATTTTAATACACTACAGGTACAGTAGAGAGCGCCCTCTAGCGTCTACAGTAAAATGATGGTTCGTTTTGTCGTACCAAAAAACCCTTGTATACCGATTTTCACTGTTATACATCAAATATTGTTCGAAATATTTAAAAAAAGCTATTTTAAAAAGTAAATTTAAACACCCTGTATTTCGGAAGCCACGCATTTTTCGACCCATGTTTATATAGACTTTATGCATCAATTTTAAAAGATCTATCGAATCTTAAAGTTATGCAACAATAAACTGAAACACCCTGTATATTTAGAGATAAAATATTTACACGATCACAGATGAGCGTCAATGTTTACAAGAAATGACGTCAAGTAGCTGTAACGTTTTTGGTTGAAGTCCCGATTAATAATTATAGTTCCGATATAGAGAAAGCAGCTTGAGCTATAAAAAAAATATTTTGATAAACTAAACTTCAATACCCTGTAACATTGGGGACTACCCCTTGTTACCTGTGTAATTAGTATTTGTTGACTCAATTGCAAATTTTGTAGTTCGTGTAATCCCCAGGTAAGGAGCATTCATAAGCCTGTAATTTGAGAAACATTGAGCCGGAAAAATCAGGGTTATTAGAAATCTATGGCTCTGATATTTAATCCTAATTCCATCCCCTAAAGGCTCTTTGACCCTATATACAGAATGTTCCTTAATGACTTGCGATTATTTAAGGGTGTGAATCTATATGGAAAATTAATGTTAGTTTGTTTTATAAACTATGGTCCAAAAATGTTTCCTTACAAAAACTCGGGGTGTTGAAGTTTTAGGAAAAAAAGTGGAAATTAATTAATATTCTCAGAACCGCTTCAGATATTTCATGGATACTTAGTACGAAGTGAAAGTTGATACAGTTGCATATTTTTCAATGCAAAAATAATTTTTAGCTTCAACAGTGGCGTGCGTACAGGTATTGACTTCGACGTTTTTTTAAGGAAAGAATGGTACGTCAATGTTTTTTTGCCAAATGGAAATTATTTTTGAATTCAATTTAAAACAAATGATCTCTCTTGAGTTGCTTTCCTTCGATGAGCCATTTTTGAGTAAAAAAGTAAAAGCCATTCTATTCTCCGAGAAAATTAATGTAATAATTGAAGAATGCAATTTAGCAATAAATATCTAGTTGCTCTGGAATATGTCACTGGCTTTTGACATCTGACAAGTTTCTGTTATTCAAATCTGTTCGCTATGACATCTTTTTCATTATTTAGTTTTCACAATCTTGTTAATAATGGTGAATTATTCAAATGCAGAAATGGCGGAAGTGCATCACGTATATGGCCTTGCCGACGGTAATGGTGAGCAAGCCTGACGGATTTATCACCAGAGCTATCCGGATCGTGCTTTGCCAGATAGTCGAACTTTTCTAACATTCATCGTCGTCTTGTTGAAATTGCTTCTATCCGAAAAAGAACATCTGAAGGTAGACCTCTAAGAGTGAGAACGCCTGAAATTGAGGAAGCAGTGCTGCACGAAGTCGAAGAACATCCTGAAACGAGTAGGAGGAAGATCGCTAGACACTTATATATTTGCCATAAAAATGTTTCGAGAATTTTAGTGGATTTTTTGTTACATGCTTACCATACTACAAGAGTACAGGCATTACTTCCCATTGATTTTCCAAGGCGTGTGACCTTTTGTCAGTGGTATCTTCAAAAATTACACAAAATTCGCAATTTGAATCAATGATTCAGTTCTCGGACGAAGCTAATTTTTCTCGAAATGCCATTCAGAACTTCCACAATAATCATTTGTGGGGATAGGAAAATCCCTATGCCGTAACTGAAACCCATTTCCAACACCAATTTTCTGTTAACGTATGGGCAGGAATTATTGGCAACCACTTTATTGACCCATTCTTCTTGCCGGGACGACTTGACGCACAGACTTACCTCAATTTTCTTCAACAACAGTTGCCTTTGCTGCTTGATGATGTTAAGTTAGTAAGGAGAAACAATATGTGGTACATGCATGATGGTGCACCAGCGCATTTCAGTGTAGCGGTTCGTAGTTATTTACAAACTGTTTATCCAAATCGTTGGATTGGCCGCGGTGGGCCGCAAGAATGGCCACCAAGGTTCGCAGACTTCAACAGTCTAGATTTCTTTTTGTGGGGATATCTTAAGACACTAGTGTACACAAGTCCCATTAACACTCTAAAAGAATTAAGAGAAAGAATAGTTGTAGCTTGTGATAGAACAAAAAACACTCCGGGGATATTTCAACGAGTGCGCAATTCCAGATGCAGATGACTCACAAATATATCTCCGTCAATAAAACCACAATCCATATTGCACAACAACTAAATTCAGATCTCCAAAGAATTGACAGTTTTGCAAAGCATCACAATCTTAAACTAAACCCCTCAAAATCGCAAGTACTGGTTATGAATAAAAACAGTAATGAAAGAGAACATTTTGAACAAAATTTAGTAATTTCGATTAACAACGACAGAATCATAGTTCAGGAGACAAAAAATCTAGGTATTATATTTGATAGCTCGCTTGGCTTTGGCAGTCATATAAAAAACAGAAAAAATTTAGCTTACATGCGATTAAAAGATATACGTAAACAAATTAAAAAAACATTTATCAGTCAAACAAACATATTATTTGTGTAATAGCTTAATTTTATCACTTTTTGACTATGGAGATGTCGTGTATGGTGATTCACTATCGTCGCGAACCAAAAAATGCATACAAAGAGTTCAAAATAGTTGCATGAGATTTGCGTTTGGAATTCCATATCGAAACCACATCACTCCTTATCTGAACAACTACAACATATTAAACATGACGAATCGCAGAAAATATCACATGTATTCTTTTATCTATAGGGTTATAAAAACAGGTCAACCGCCCTATTTAAGAAAAGGATTTGTGCCTTTACCTGGTCCCCAGAGAAACAGAAATAATCTCAATTTTATCGTACCTAGGCATAGAACGCGTTCCTCCCGACGATCGTTTGCCTATATGGCGGTTAACTTATGGAATAATTTACGAACTTCCGTTAAAAGCTCATGGTCAAAACTGACAAAAACGTTGTTGCAGAATCACCAGCTACTTTAGCAACATTTGTGTGTGCAAAATATCGTTTTTACATTCCTACTCGCTGACAAGTTGTATAGATTTGTTTTTCGCGTCCGTTGCCAGCTCCCGGGGGTTCTTTCTTCGTTTTTGTCTTTTTGTGTTTCACCGCCTCTTCATTTGCCTCTTTGTTGTTTTTTTTATCTTGTTTAAGGACTTTTAGGGTGTTCAGGGCTTTCTCGCATGGACTCTTTGTATTAAAGGGTCCAATGTATCGGTTTTATAATCGAGAGACTGTCCTTTTTCGTCATTGCTCTACAAGTAGAACTTCCTTTGTTTATGATGTTTATTCATGACGAAATAAATATTTTGAATTGAGCAAACTAACATTGATTTTTCATGTAGATTCACATCCTTAAATATTCGCATATCATTAAGGAACATCCTGTATATATTAATAGCCTCTGAGAGAAGCTTCAGTTCAACTCTATTAGTCTTTTTCGTATGACTTGCAGTGATTATAGACACGAAGAAAATGCGTAGACAAACATGCTGATTGTGGAATATATTTTACTACAGCATAACATAACATCATAAAGTTCCAAACATAGTTACCACACCTTAATAATTTATTTCGAATCACATTTGCTTTTAACGTACGCCTGCAAACAAAAAACTGACCCTAAAGTTGTATGAGGCATGCCAGCTGTGACGTTTTTGGTTGAAAACAGCTTGAGTTATAAAAAACGGTTTTGAAAAACTGAACTTCAACACTCTGAACTATTGAGGACTACTCTGCATAACCTGTCGAATAAGTATTTGTTAACTCAATTGCATGTTTTGTGGTTCGTGTAGTCCCCAGGTAAAAGGGGTTTAGGTAAGAGTCATAAACCCGCGGTTTGAAAAACATTCAGCCGGTCATTTGAAATCGGCCAATCTGGTATCATATCCCAATCCCTTACCTTACAGGAGTTTTGACCCTATATAATCTGATTGCCTTTGAGAGGACCTTCAGTTCAAGTGTACTAGTCGTACTTGTATGACACGCATCGCGACTTGCTGTTAAATTTGTGCTCAGTGTTTTTTGGCGAGTGAAAAAGGTAATACATTTGTTCTAGCTATGTATACATTGTGTTTCAGTTTATTGTTGCATAACTTTAAGATTCTATAGAACTTTTAAAATTAATGCATAAAGTCTATATAAACGGGGGCCGACAAATTCTTCTTAGTGCAATTTCTTGCTTTTTGAATAAAAAAACTGATTCTTCGCACTTTTCAACATAAAAAAGCTCTCTTGTGAGTTTTCGTTATAGTTAGCCGTTTTTGAGATATTTCGATTTTTAAGGTTCGATGCATTTCTAGTTATTTATGGGAAAATAATATTTTTTTTACATTTTCGGTTTGGGCATTACAAGTAATTAAGATGATCGTTCAGATTGTGTTTTTAAACACAGCAATAATTCCTAACTCCAAATAAACACAAAAAGACAATATTAATTTGTTTAATTTTCCAATATTATTTTTAACAAATTAAATTAATTATTTACAACTAAAATGCTATTGGATAGTTAGGACAAACATACGAAATCTAAAGTAGTTGCTCGAAATGTAAACCCAATTGTTCAATACACAATTCACATCTACGAATGATCGAACGTGGTATAGCATTATTCAAATAAGGCCTTATTTCATCACATGCATTCCTGATTCTGTCTATTAGCATATCTCTTGTGGTTACGGGAGTCTGGTACACTTTTTCTTTTAGTAATCCCCACACAAAGAAACCTAATGGATTTAGGTCAGGGGATCGTGGAGGCCAGGCGACTGGTCCTCCACGGCCGATCCATATTTCTGGATAATTTTCGTCCAGCCAGTTTCTAACTATTCTCGAATATTGAGCTGGACAACCATCAAGCTGGAACCAGGCCAATCTTCTAAAATCTAACATAACATCATCCCACATATTTGCATGTTCAGCCTTTAAAAATTCCAAGAAGGTCGCCTTACAGGCAAAAGATAGGGCCAAATAGTCGATTACGGTAGATACCAATCCACACGTTCACACTAAATTCATGCTGAAAATTTCTTTCCCGAACTGCATGCGGATTTTCATGCAACCAAATATGTTGATTATGAAAATTTACCACTCCACGTCTAGTGAAGCATGACTCATCGGTCCATAAAACGTTACTTAAAAACTCTCTATTATTATCAGTTCTATCAAGAATCCACTGACAAAATGTGATTCTTCGTTCTCCGTCCCCTGGCTGTAGTCCTTGCACAGGTTGCAAATGGTAAGGACGTCTATGGTCATTTCTAAGAACACGGTGAAATTTCCAAGGCACCAGAAACTCTCCTAACACTTGTGGTCGGATCTCTATCAAACTCACGCAGAATCATAGGGGTAAATCTGCGCTGACGAACATTTATGTTTTGATCCCTTTGGAGATTTCCAAAACCCTTTTCAATTATTTGGCGATGCACTTTTACAAATACTGAGCGAGTTGGATGTCGTCTGTTTGGAAATCTTGGTGCGTATTCTCTGGCTGCTTCTGCTGCGTTTCCATTTACAAAGCCATACACCAAATGAATATCCGCTAACTCTTGATTGGAAAATAAAAATGGCATTTTTATAAAACTTACATAAAAACGCAGGTAAAAGAAACTAAATTTCATGCATTCAAAAAAAAAACGTTTCAGGTTTCAACAGACAACAAAACTAACTGTCAATTAATTAACGTTTAACCTTATTCTGCTTTCAATTTCAAAAATATTTGCAGGCACAGCCTACTTTCACAAGAGAGCTTTTTTATGTTGAAAAGTGCGAAGAAATAGTTTTTTCGTTCAAAAAGCAAAAAATTGCACTAAGAAAAATTATCACTGTTATAGATCAAATATTGTTCGAAATACCTAAAAAAAACTATTTTAGAAAGTAAATTTAAACACCCTGTACTTCGGAAGCCACGCATTTTTCGACCCATGTTTATATAGACTTTATGCATTAATTTTAAAAGTTCTATAGGATCTTAAAGTTATGCAACAATAAACTGAAACACCCTGCATGTAGAAACTAATATTTCATCCCAATATAGACATGAAAAGAATACATAGCTCCCCATTAAAGCGACTCCGTGTTGTTTATCGCTTCCGAGATTCCAACGGTGACGATCGAATCTGACTGATCACCGGTTTATTCAGTTGCTTATAACTCCAAAACTAGTTATTAAAACGCTCTGTTTAAGTTATATCTTTTAACTTTTATCTCTTTGAAGCAAGAATCTTAATGTGCCACAAAGTATGGGATATTCCATTAATTTTAAAATAATATCAATTCCTCTAAATCAAGTGATATATTTCATTATACAGGGTTCCCGAATAAAGTGTGCAATATTCTACCAGTGGTTTCTAGAGCTTAAAATAGGAAGAAAAGTTTCTATAAACATAGGTCGACAAACGTCCCCTAAGGGCGCTACGGTCTTCTAAAGGGGCTCCCCTGCAGATGGTTTTTCCTTACTATTTCCGAAACGTGTTGATATAAAGTCATAAAATTTGGTATTCTAGCCTAGTTTTTTATGCTGGATTTAAAAATATTAACAATTTTAGACAGCTGTGTTTGGAATCGTATGTAACAGGTACGGACTCAGGTTATTTTAGCCCCAAAATTTTTGTGTGATTCTATTTTTAAAATTCAATTTTAGAATTTGAAAATTTAGGGTTTTCTACATAAACAAGGTACTCTTATTGAATATCGATAAATTGTGCCATTTTTGAATAAAATCAAACTAAAAAATTTGTCACATGATAGGAAATGTACTGCCAATTTAAATGAATTGTTGAATAATTAGCCATGGCAACGAAAAAGCAAATTTAATAATTGGTAAATATTACATAAATACATATTTGTATTGCAACATAGCTAACATTTAGGCAAAAACAAAGGAAATAATTTTTTTCTACGAACGAAATTGAAATTTGTTTAAAAAAGAAGACAGTTGGATATACTTAAAACTAGCTTTACAATAAGTGTTCAAATAAATTCCTATTTTGTAGGATACAGAGTCTCTCTTGACGAACTAATGATTGCGTAGCCCGAAAAGTGGAAAACCTTTTTCTTCTTATTTCATTCGCAGCCTTATGGATTCTTTGAAGTAAATCTCCTTGAGTATTTACTTCAGTCGAGTAAACTAGGTCTTTTAATGACCCCCAAAAATAGAAATCCAATGGATTTAGGTCAGGTGAACGTGGCGGCCACGCTATAGGACCTCCTCGGCCTAACCACCTGTCTGGAAAATTGACATTCAACCAATTTCGAACATTGCGTCCAAAATGTGCAGGGGCGCCATCATGTTGAAAAAATATATTTTCTTGAAACTGCTGGCGCACATCCAATGGTATTATATCCATGAGCTCATTCTGAAGAAAGTTCAGATACACCTCTGGATTAAGACGATTGGGAAGTACAATAGGCCCAATTACTTGATCCCCAATTACTCCTGCCCATAAGTTCAATGAATCTATGTTGCAAATTTGTACGGCGAACAACTTTTGGATTTTCATCTGACCAGTGATGCATGTTATGGAAATTAAAACCACCATTCCTAGTAAATGTTGACTCATCCGACTATAATATTCTAGGAATAGTGTTTTCATTTGCAAAAATCTGCCTTCGTTAGATGCTGCACCCGATTAAAATGATAAGATGTAATCCTTGCATTCTTATCATTCTTCCTTTCTAAAATTATTATTTGTAGGATAACTAACAAATACGTATTCATAAATTTTTCTTACTATTGATCGAGGTATATCCATAATTTATGAAACATTTCGTATGCTTATTTGCGGATTATTTTCAAACATATTTAAAGCAATATCTATACGATGATTTCCCAGTGGCCTTCCTGAGCCCTGCATGCGCCGAAAACTTCCATGTTTGACAAATTCCGGTGAATATCAGTAAACATTCGACGTCCAGGTACTATGCGATTGTTCTTTGATATTCTCTTACGGCTGCCAATGAATTGCCGTACACAAAATGCATGTCAGTCAGTTCTCTGTCTGTAAATCTTGGCATTTTAAATCGATTTAATAAAAATTTTGATTTTAATCTAGTAATTTTACACTGCTAACAGTGTCAGCTTAACGTCAAAATAAGTCATAACAAATCAAAACAACTTTTGTTTACAGTCATGGCTATCTATGTATAATCAACAATTCATTTAAATTCGCAGTACATTCCCTATCATGTGAATTTTTTTAGTTTGATTTTATTAAAAATGGCACAATTTATCGATTTCCTATAAAAGTACCTTTTTCATGTAGAAAACCCTAAATTTTCAAATTCTAAAATTGAATTTCAAGAATAGAATCACACAAAAATTTTGGGGCTAAAATAACCTGTTACATACGCTTCCAAACAAAACTGTCTAAAATTGTTAATATTTTTAAATCCAGCATAAAAAACTAGGTTAGAATACCAAATTTTATGTCTTTATCTCAACACATTTCGGAAATACTAAGGAAAAAACATCTTCAGGGGAACCCCTTTAAAAGACCGTAGCGCCCTTAGGAGACGTTTGTCGACCTATGTTTATATAAACTTCTCTTCCTATTTTAAGCTGTAGAAACCGCTGGTAGAATATTGCACACTTTTTTCGGGATACCCTGTATACCCGGATAGACTATTTCAAGACATTAAGGCTGATTAATGATTGTTTATTGGGTTAAGAGCGATTCACTGTACAAAAACGTTAAATACGTAATACTTGAACGGCTCCTAATTACAAGTTAGCCCACGGTAATGGGCAAGGGCGGATTCAGGATTTCGTCTAGGGGGGAGGGGCGTAAACGATATTTGAGGCTGGTCATTTTTGAACCTCGGTGGAATTTCTAGAATTTATCCTATTATTGCTCGCTAAATCCATTGTGTTCTATCTGGTCAAGGCCAGCTTGAAAAAAAACATGAAAATTGCTCAAGAATCTTCAGAAAGCCAATATTTTATTATATGAGAGCAAAATAAGTACGTGGCATTTATAATTAACTAGTATAATAATATTAAAGATTCAAACATAAAAAAATTCATTCCTCTGTTAACCGACAAAAAAATAAATAAAACATTCTGAGGGACCCCGGTACATATCCCAGTCCATTCCACACAAAACAATGTCTTTGATTGCGAAAACGAACATGAGACCAAAACATTAACATTATCGTATGGACGTTAGACAAGACAAAGAAGGATGTCTGTAGACCATCTACAGATCGTGGCTTGAGACCGTCTCCAGACTGCTTATAGACAAATTGCGCAACGGGGTCTACTAGTATGTAATAAGCTTAAGGATTCAGACTCTGAACTGCCCATTGAACAAATCAAGTAACTGGTGCAAATACTGACACAATCAAGCACGTCTATTATATCAGCAGGTGACAGAAAGTAACACAATGGCGCCCACCGCCCCCCTCTAAATCCGCCAGTGGTAATGGGACCAACAATTTTCAAAATAATATAAAAAAAATATAAACAATCATACGTATATCCCTGGTTGCCTGATTGCAAGCTTACATTGTCTATGGCGTGCAAAAAACTGTTTGATCGCAATAAAAGTACACATAATGTGAAAAAACATGTATTTCTCAAAAAAAATAATGGGGAGAAATGAGCCTCATTTGAACATCCGTCCTGCGGTTCTGCAATCGTCAACCCTTCCCATTGGGCTACGACGCTTCTTGGTTCACTAGATCTTTATACCACTACACTGGACACTGAGAAATATCAAGCGAACGTTGCAGGCATATGAAATCTGTTATAAACAATAACAGTACTCTTGAAAACCATACAAGATACAATTCTGAATCTTTAAATAATGCATCGGGGACTACATACTACTACATAACGAGCATTTTTCCTAATTTGCGACAATTGGTTGATATTTGTCTACTGTTTTTTTTTCGTTTTCTCGTGTTTATTTTCAAAAATCTGGCATTGCAATACCCCTCTTCTTTCCACTTAAAAAATATTTCAACAACGCGCCCAACAACCATTTTCAAATTTCCAAATTTTTGCGCTATGCATGCATCAATTTCATTATCCCCAATTCCAACCTGCAACGTTCAAAAAGTAAATAGGCGGCGAGGGATAAAGCAATTGATATGTAATTTATATCTTCTTCTGTTTGACATTCCTATCGGTATTTTTGTTGCCCTTGTACACTGCCCTTAAAATATTGTTTTTTGTATTTGCAGAAAATCCATATCCCAGAGCCATGACCAAAAAAGGAAGCAGCAGTTCCAGCGACTGCAACCAGGATAGCAGTCGTCTTCCGTCCGTCCAGCCCCGTCCCAGACAGAGGAGGGAGAGAAAGAACAGGAAACGATGGTACGTCCCGCCCCGCATGTCTGATCTTAAGCAAAAGACGCAGACTCCAACTGCGACTCCTAGAGGCACGGACCCCACCGGGATGTGCAACCCCCAGATGCCCATGGTAACTACCCTGAATAAATTTAACGTAAACGCTAAGGAGTTCGTACCGAGATGCGAACGGATGTTTGAAGCCTTGCTACAAAAGTACGCTCTCCAATACGACCAGATGATTTCTATGGGGTATCCTATTCAGAGAATCGTTGATGGGAATCTTGTGATGATGTGGCACACCCCCAAGATGCCTTGGATGAACCACCGCTATAATTTTGATAGCCGACATGATTCTGGAAGTTGCAGCGACAGTGACGATTCACTCAGCAGCAGCGGTTCTGAATTAGATACCCAAGTGTATTACAACCGAAACTACGTACATCCTACGTCTGGGCCCTGCTACGAACGAACTTGTAGTCGATGTAGTACACGCTTCTACACAACTGATAAGGAATACATCTCGATGGAGGGATGCTGCTACCACTGGGGCAAGTTGCAATACGGCACAAGGAAAAGCAATGGAAAGACGTATACATGTTGCGGAGCGGACAGCAATGCCAAAGGTTGTGCTGAGGCTAGGGTACACGTATGGAGCGGCGCTCGGTATGGAGCTGACTCGTACCACGACAACTACGTGGTGACAAAAGCAATGAAAAACCCTCCTCCAGATGGTAACTACGGCGCATACGCCCTGGACTGCGAGATGTGCTTTACAGTACGCGGCTTAGAACTGACCAAGGTGACAGTCGTGGACATCGACGGAAGAGTGGTGTACGATACGTACGTTCAACCTGACTTTGAAATCGTAGACTACAACACTAGGTTCTCAGGCATCACCGCCAGAGACATGGAACACTCTCAAGTGAAAAAACTCCACGAAGTGCAAAGCGATCTTATGGGGTTCATACACTCGAACACGATACTGATCGGCCATGGTCTTGAGAATGATTTAAAAGCTTTGAGGATGGTGCATTACTACGTCGTGGATACGGCGTACACCTTCCCGCACCACCGTGGCCTGCCTTACCGCATGTCGCTCAAGAACTTAACCTCCATCATCTTAGAGAGGGAAATTCAGGTGGATTGCCACAACAGCTACGAGGATGCTGCCGCGTGCATAGACTTGATGTTGTGGAAGGTCAGGAAAGACCACTCAGAGACATTTTAATGCAAATAATGTGTCACTGTGAAATACTTAACTCCAAGTTTAAAAAAGTAGCTTGTGCCTCTCTCACCGTGTTAACATGTTCTTTAAAATTGGATTTGAGTTTCACAGTGGCAGAGACAAATTTTCTGGATTGTCGTTGTTTTCAAATGAATTGTTTTTACCTATACTCCTTTTTCTACTTCTTCTATACGTACTATCCACTTTATGAACTATCTATCTAGATGTATGTGAAACTGGAACTAGCACCCCTAGTTTTTGTTTAAACACCGGATAAATAGTTCAATGTTAGCTCTGTATGTATATAAATACTTTATTTTGGAAATGCTGTGAAGAGTATCGAATTATTGATTTTTCGATCCACTTAACAACATATCTTTTTATTTACAGATTCACATGTCGTTTACCTGGTTATTAAATATTTAGCTTCAGAGTGGTAAGCTTAACTCTATCGTACTTATAAAATCTGGACCGAGCATTTCTGTGATTGATCATGAATTCTTATGGATGTACTTTTATCTCACGTACTATATTTATATTGTATTTGTACTAAATCTTCTACTTTTTGCCTAGGTAGTATTATTTTTTAACTTTTTGTTTCACGTGTTGAATAAAAGTCGACAAAAGATGAATAATAAAATATGCAAATGCACGTTAAGATTATTTGTACTATACCTGAAAGTAAAAATAAAATAAAACATTTTCAAATACTTGTCATGCCTTTTCTTTGAGCACCCACGAATCAGTTTCTTTCCAATTCGTAAAGTGAAATTTGAGGACATTTCTTTTGTGGCGATAAATTTTATGGTGAAGCGATGGGGAAGTAAACAAGGTCGAGAGGAGGACAAATCATTATAATATGACATGTTTTCTGCGACTAAGACTCATCATGTACACGGTTACAAATGTAAAGTAAAAAGTGAAAATGAAACCACCAAACAGTAGTACAAGAGTAAATTCCGGATTGTCTCAGTTTAAAAATGCCCATATTTGTTAGTCTCTTATAGATCGTTTACACGTACAATACTAATGACCAGGCTATATCAACTGTATGTTAGAAATACATTGTCTACAATGCCCCTACTGAGCGAGGGCCGTGGCAAATGCTTGTTCCGGAAGTTGTTGTATCCAGTATACAACTTCTTCCCGTCCAAGTGATTGTGCACGCGTTAAGGAATACCTCAGTACCGATTGCCGGGTGGCGGTACAAGTCCGCCAACGGGCCACTTTAGGTCTATTTAACATCACTAACACGTAAAAAGAAGGTGGTAGACAAGGACCAGTCGACCGAGGCAGTACCACCCGCTAGCTTTTCCCAGGGTGTCTTATAAATGTCCGCATGTTTCCACACCTAAGCTATGCAGTCGGTTATCTACCAAAACAAAGAAATTAATGATGATGGATCCCTCGAGCACTAAAAACTCCGGACGTAAACTCACTCCACTCTCGGAATGTCCGGGTGGAGGGTGGGCTCGAGGGAACAACATCGAAGATAAAATTTGTTTTTCGAACATCTGCGGGATCAACAGCAACATTGATGCTGTTCATCACTACCTGCAATCCAATCGTCCCGCCGTGCTTTTCTTGGCGGAGACAAAAATCTCAGAGACTGCACCGATTAACCATCTCAACTTCCCAAACTACGAGGTGCACTCCAATCTGAGAAAGAACGGGGGAGTTGTGGCTTTTGTCCGCAGCAGTCTTTCCTGCTCCAGGGATCTTTCTTTGGAATCAGACCGGAAGGACATTCTGTGGCTTCGCCTCAACTCCAAAACATCACCCAAATTTATTTGCTGCCTTTATCGCTCTCCCTCGAACCATAATTGGGATGACCTACTCGAATACCTCGCCGTCCAGATCGACTTCCTGAACATCAATCACCCCGCTTCAGAGGTAGTTCTTCTCGGTGATTTCAATGCCCATAATGAGCTTTGGTTAGGCTCAAATAAGACCGATGCAGCAGGTCGTGCAGTCGAAGCGTTCGCTCTCACTCAAGGGCTGACCCAGCTGGTGACGAGCCCTACTTTTTTCCCCCGCGTCTCGTCACACGCCAGTAGCCTGCTAGATCTCTTTCTGACCACGCATCCTGCCCCCTACAGCACTGCCGTCCTGTCCCCCCTGGGTAACTCAGATCACGGTGTTGTGGAGGTTAGGTTTCGGTCAGAAGCCGCTATGGCAGCAGAAACTCGTACAGGCCGCAAAACTTGGCATTACGGACATGCCGACTGGGAGGGGCTCAGAGACTTCTTCTCTAGCTTTCCTTGGAGAGATATCTGTTTCACTGACGCGGATGTGTCGACTGTCTGTTCTTCAATAACCGAAATTATCCACGTCGGAATGGAGGAATACATCCCTCACACAGTGAAAGTTCCTAAACCAGGGTCCAACGGCTGGTTCAACAAATCGTGTGACACTGCTCGCCAGCAGAAGATCAAGGCCCACAGAACCTACTTACAAAACCCCACTGTAGAGAACAGACAAGCCGACGTCGAGTCCAGAAACAAATATAACGAAGCGGTTCGCAATGCCAAAAACCAGCATGATATAAAAGTTAGGCACAGGGTAATGTCGCAGCGCAATGGCAGTCGGTCTTTCTGGACGCTGGCCAAGCAGATTGAAAAGAACTTCTCACACAGTAGCCTTCCACCACTTACGTGTCAGGATGGAACTATCGTATTCGACTCAAAGGCCAAAGCCGAAGTGCTAGCCAAGATCTTTGCTGCCAACTCCACCATGGACGTCCCCACCAACGCCCAAGTGCCGTCAATTCAAAGGGTTCCCCACACTATGCGGGAGGTAACATTCAGGCATAAGACTGTAAGACGAGTGCTCTTGTCGCTCGACATCAACAAAGCTTTTGGTCCGGACTTGATTCCTGCCACTGTACTGAAGAGTCTCTTCCAGATATCTTATGAATCCGGCACCTTCCCAGAAAACTGGAAATTTGCGCATGTACAGCCCATCCCAAAAAAGGGATCTAAGACCGACCCTTACAACTACAGGCCTATAGCTCTGCTTTCTGTTATAAGTAAAGTGATGGAGAGGTGCATAAATCGCGAGCTTCTGGACTACCTCGAACGTCACAGCTTGATTAGCGACAGGCACTACGGTTTCCGGCACCAACGATCCACAGGGGACCTCCTAGCTTACGTCACGCAACTGTGGCGTAAACTCATCCAGTCTCATGGTGAGGCTCATGTCGTTGCTCTTGACATCACGAAAGCATTCGATCAGTTGTGGCACTCTGCCCTCTTAAGCAAACTTCCATCTTACGGCCTCCCAGAAAAGCTTTGCAGATGGGTGGCTGACTTTATCTCTGGCCGCAAGATATCCGTCGTAATTGACGGATTCTCCTCTTCATCCCACAACGTCAACGCGGGTGTTCCCCAGGGATCGGTCTTGGCTCCAACACTGTTTCTCTTACATATCAACGACCTCCTTTCCTGCACGATCAACCCAATCCACAGCTTCGCTGATGACAGCACTCTACATGCAGGAATTCAGAGTGACAAGCCGATCTCTGCCACTGAGCTGGAAAAAAGAAGACTAGCGACGACTTCCTCTCTGACAAGAGACCTGGAGGCTATCACTGCTTGGGGACGCAACAATCTTGTACAGTTCAATGCTTCCAAAACACAGTACTGTACTTTGACGAACAAAAAGCGTCCTAGCGCTCATACAGTTTCGATGGACGGTCGAGTTCTACCAAAGAGCCATTCATTTCGGCTGGTCGGAGTCCAGATCACCGAGGACCTGATCTGGCACGAACACATCTCTTTAATAGCTGCAGCTGCTGGGAAAAAGCTAGGCTATTTGTTTAGGGCTAAGAAGCACTTTTCTCCGCATGACCTTCTCACTCTATACAAGGCCCAGATAAGGCCAAGCCTCGAGTATTGCTCACACATTTGGGGTGCTGCCGCCCCGACTACATTGTCCATGCTCGATGCTGTCCAGAGGAGGGCGGTCCGACTGATCGATGACTCTTCTTTAACAGACAGTCTCGGGACTCTTTCGCACCGGCGGGCCGTCGGCGATCTAGCTCTTTTCTATCGCTACACCAACGGGCTTTGCTCCTCAGAGCTCTCTTCCATGATGCCGCCGCGCGATGTGCCTGCCAGACAGACCCGCCTGACTTCGGCGTCCCATCCTAACCGTGTCAAACTTCGTACATCCAGAACTGGCCGATACGACCGCTCCTTTGTCCCTAGGGTGTCTAGATTGTGGAACAAACTACGGGAGGAAGCTTTTCCCAGTTCTACTAACCTTAGGCAGTTCAAAAATCGTATTAACAAAATTTCTTTTGGATCATCATAGCAGCCGCGGTGTTCCGGCATTTAGGCTTCTGCCTGCGCGGCTGTTTCGATATATATAAAAAAAAAAAAATAGGGACCCATAGCCGGAAAAGTGTCACTACGGACATAAGACGCGTTAAAATTTAGAAAGACGATGAATTGCCTAAATAGGATTTAATGCATTTAATTTTTGCCTTTTGTACATGATATCATCACAACAATTGTTCAAAATGTCTTCTTCCAACCTGAATACACCGTTACTGTGAGGACATGTAAAGTCTTTTGTTTACGAAACTCCAGTAGAAACAAAGCAAGACTTAATTGGATGAATTGTAGCAGCATTTAAAATGATTTAAAACGATTGTTGTGATAATATCATGTACAAAAGGCAAAAATGAAATGCATTAAATCCTATTCAGGGATATGGGTCCCTATGCTCAAATGTTACACTGAATAGAGGAGACCGGGGCTAGTTGTCACTATTTTTAGTAATTCTTTTTGTTATTCGATCTGAAGCGTTATATGCACATATTTGGTGCATAACTAATATGGTTTATCCTTTGGGAACACTATGTAAAATCGATAAGGCTGTAAAATAATTCACAATATTAAATTAAACTGTTTCAAAATACAGAAACAAATGTGACTTGCCCCTTGTTGGGGGTTGTCACGTGTATTTTAGATCATTACACGCGTTACAAAAGGTAGGGCGCCATGGATGACTGATACGATCAAACAAATGCAGCAGCTCCGTGATGAAGCACTTAAAAGATATAAACGATCAGGTACTCATGCGCACTTACAGTATTATAAAGATTTAAAGAATTATGTCACTAGCGCTATTGGAAGAGAGAAAAGAGCGTATTTCTTCCGTAAGTTCTTACATAGTAGCTCTCAGCAAATGTGGAGGATATTAAAACAAAACAAGATGCTAAAAAATAACTCATTGCCCCCTAACCTAATGGATGCGAACCTTCTGAATGATTTTTTTATAAATTCCATCTCCCCAAGTGAACCTCCAGATTCCTTAATAAATTTTTACAAAAATAACTATCTGACAAACTTCAAATTCAAATTTAGAGAAATTGATGAAATATTCATATATCAAGCTATCTCTGGTATTAAAACAAATGCTGCAGGCTGTGATGTCTTGAGTATCTTTCTAATAAAACTTTGCTGTCCACATGTTATTCCTTATATTAGGCATATAATAAATTGTTGTTTGATTCAAA